CTCCCACTTCTAACCCGAAACGGGCGGTGACTATTCAGATTATGAAACGTCTTCACTATAGCCATCCTTGTCTATCGCATGGATTTCTTTACTTTACTTTGTCGCTCTCATTTAAAGGCAGATGGACCATGTGGATTTTCCAGCCCTGTATAGGGGATTTGACATAAAAAAACATAAAAACATGTACAGCAGTCAAGAAAGATCAGATTTGACAACAACGTATGCCGTAGCGCCTGTCCAGCGACGGTGTATGAAAATTACGAAAAAAGTAAAAAAAAAAACAATTCAGTTTTCACAACGGAATTTGAAAAAACAAGCTTATGGTATATGTTAAGATATATAAGGTCAAAGGTAACTACGGTATAAACCTCCATTCAAATTTGATACCTTATTTGCATAACAACGAGTCCACTATTATTATGAACGCTTAATATATCATTTCATTTCATATGAATTTAACCATGTTTTAAGTTTTGTCGTAAAGATTAACATGATTGTGCAAAATATTGTATACGATACTTAGTCAACAAATTTTCTCGGTCGTTAAAAGGCACTTACTGACTATACAGGGTGATTCAGAACTTATCCAAAAAAAAATTATGGATGTACAGGGGACCCTTATGTAAGGGCTTATGAATTACTCATCACCTATTATATTACCAGTTTTTACTTTAATTGTTTAATATTTAATTTTCTTACACTTACAAATACAATTTTGTAAAGAAAAAATGAAAAAGGGCAGTTCGAAATTGATTTAAAAATACACTTCTGCACGGCACTGGAAACTGGTCCACTATAAAACCTGACCTCGCAAAATGCGACTGGCATAGCGGTGTGAAAAAACGGACAAAAACTTTCGCAAGGAAAGAAATAAATAGAATTTTATAGCACCTATTTTATATCGGCAAATTCAAATGCTTTTGCCTTTATTAATTATTAATAAAATTAATTTGTGTTTTTAAATAATAAAATCATTTGACATACCCGATGTTATAACAACAATTGTTCAAAATTTTATCCACTAACGTGTAAACACATTTGGGTCCGTCTTACTCACTTTCTACGAACTAATGATGTCTTGCTTCATCATAAATTAAAACGATATCCATCAACTCTAAGTTGCTATAGACGCAGACCATTTTTGACACTAACTACTAAAAAACTGTTGTAAACACCACAGATAACAGGTAAAAACTACCGTAACGACGGATTTCAGTATTAGGAGTCACATGGCTCTTCACGCGTATTGCGAATGACGCTAGAGACTACAGTTGTCCAGCTATGTAGTGGTTGAATGTACTATAACTCCAATAATTTTTTTCTCGGAAACTATAAGGATTTTACAAAAATTTTTTTACGTTATTAACTCTATTTCTCATGCCGCATCTATTCCCAATTTTTTTTGGATAAGTTGTAAATCACCCTGTATATCGTAATATACAGGGCATTCATAAATGATTACGAGCCACTTGACCGCCGGGCTTACGCAACCAACATTTCACGGCTGGTACTGTCAACAAATATCCCTAAATCTTCACCAATATTCGTTTACAATGAACAATGACAAACCATTACGTTTA